ATCCAGAATCATGACCCTTGTGCGAAGTCAGCAATCCCTCAACTAAATCCGTGGAAAATGCTCTCTCATTTCCACTTTAATATAGGGAATGCCTACAAATGATCTAGTGATCTCTGATGGTCCATCTCGACTATCTAATAAATATTACACTGGGAGACAAAATCACTATGTCCCTCCTCCTGCCTGTCCTCCAAACGTCTGCTTCATACCGTAAAGCATCATGTTTCCACTAGGATAAATAAAGAATTAAGAGTTGTGAAACTCAGTCCTTGCATCCTCCATCCAATTTATCTGCAGAAAGTATCGTTAATCCGGTACCACCAGCTTTCGTCTGTACCCATTGTTCAAATTGGAGCATCTTCAAAAGCGAATTCTACAACTAAATCTATCCACCACTGATCTATGATAAACTCACCAATATTGAAAGTCAATCGGTAATTCCATTTATCAATAGTTAACTATGACTTTAACTTAATAAAATTCAAAAAATTACGACCTTTCCATACATACCATGCACCTCATCTTTATATAGGTGTTTGGTTTCACCATCTTGTCTTTGACACACCCTGCTTCTTTAAGATAAGTTAATGTCAATCCGACTTCTTTGTCTAACTTCAAAAGAATATGAAATCTTTTCATCCTCCATATAAGTCATCAATTTCTTAGCAACAGCTAATTGTTGCAAATTGTGACTAAAAAAATAATTCCATATTATTTATGGAAATGAAGAGACTTAGTTTCCTCCTCCATGTGCAACACCGGCAAATTTCTCCTGATGACACACCCTCGTGAATAAATTCTTGATTAAGAATTTACTGATGAATATTTATTTAGTCTCCTATCCTCACTCGATGTCATTCCAATAAGTACTTAATTCAGTAATAAATCCTCCTTCTGACTTGATAACAACTTCTGAAATTTTCAAGAAGATGTTCAGCAAATCCAGTACTTCTGATAAATCATCATGGCATTACAGTGATCTTTATTTACCACTACCTCATGCATACCAAAACATTAATAACCACCAATATTATGGCGTTGTAATATGACACAAATCCATACGTAGAGTAAAGTAAATCAAACTAATCATACTAGATTTTTTTTTTGACTCACAGTGATGGTTTAACTATCCCATCCCAAACAATATACTAAAATGACGCATGTCCAAGTCTAATAAATTGGCTAGAATTATGTGTATCTACCATATCCTACGACCGCATGCTCACAAATCTAGCGTAAATGACGTTATTACTCCATGTTATTAAAAACAATAGTTGGCTGATCACATACTTATGTCCCCAACTAAACCACATACCATTAACCGGAATAATCAACGAAAATAAAACATGTATGACAAACACACTAGTACAAAATATATTCCTATTTAGGACATCGTTCTTTCTAGAAAAGAAAGTCTCCTTTGAAATCAACCTTACCAGATTGTTTCACAATTTCCTTTTATAGTTTCGTAAGTAATCATCCAACCTCGAAACATATCCTTTAAACATAGCTTAAAAGCAACATATGTTTGCCTAAGCAAATACTAAGGGCTTCACCCTCATCATCCCTATACGCTAAATGTAAACTATCTAACTTAGCTTTATAAAGCGAATTAGAATGTCACAACATAATACCAATACCTTCCTGAATGTGATACAAAATCATACGTTTCGTTCTGATAAGAACTCCATCAAATCCCCAATCTTCTGAAGATTACTTCTTATATATCTCTTTTAGAGATGATAAGATAGTTTAATTATATGTAGATTGATCAATACCAATTCTACAAATAACATTCGTTATATAACCAACAAACAAGATCACCCTCGCGCGATCATCCATCTTCCAGATGTAGTACCCTCTCTCTTGGATACGCTGAAATCTCCTCCATTAGGATCCTCTTTGGACTCTTACTCCCCGCTTGTCTCCTTTTTGAGATCAACTGAAGTCATGTTGGCCCCGATATGTGGTGACCTGTTATGCACATCTAAATCTTTCCTTGGCTTATACTTTAAAGTAGCTCCAAACGAACCTAAACCTTCGATCCCTAATTCTGCCTTCGGGCAATGAAATCAATAATGTACTCCTTTACTCCTTTGGGTCTTTGTCGCTGTCGCCTTGGACCCCATCCTTTTCCTAGTGCCAACCACTCTGTAACTACATAATATAATTGACATCAGTTCCTCCTAACGAACCGTAAATAGAGTACAATGAATCCTAATACAGGCTCTAAGTTTTAAGAGACGCAACGCGGAAGTCACATAATGAAAGACACTCCTAAGGACACTTGAACCTGGAGTGCTCTGATACCAACTGTGATACCCCCGGATTTTCGAATGCGGGTTGGCCAGGCCCACGCCCGAATACCCGAGGATATCAAAAACAAAATCGGTAATAAACGAACACAGAGTACAAAAGAATAAATATAAATAAATAATTTGCTAAAAGAAAACTAAAATAACAATCCAATAACTCCTTAAAATAAATTCCTATTAATAATAAAAATATTCTGATACAATTAATCCTCCATTAATACAACTCGGGAATCTATACTGTGTGGACCCATAGAAAAAATCCAAAATAAAACAAGTGACAGCAATAACTGTCTACATCAAAAAACTGAAACGTAAAAGAAACTCTTATGTAGACTCCGGAAGAGTGAAGTAGACTGGTTCCTACTTAGCACGAATAACCTCTACTCCTGACGAACACCTGAAAAAATAATGGTGGGTCAGGCCCACAAACAAGTTCTACTCTGCTACAGTCCAAACAGAGATTCAATACACGTATACATCCTAATCAATCTAACAATAACTAGTAGTCCGTATATATATATATATACACACTAAAGGAACCTCACTAGACTATAGGGCTGTCTCAACCTGAATAGTAGGCAACATGCAAAACGCACATATAGTGGGCATGAGTACCTAGACCTACCAGGGTACACAACTACACTATATCTAGCTACACATCCCTGGCGATATACGCGCCCTAACCACTGATCCTGAGACTCAAGCTCATATCATGGCACCATACTTATATATATATAATCTAGTAACCATCCTATCCAGTATAAATTAATCCTCCATAAGTCATTCAACTTGTTCAGCTGACCTGACTTGAATATAAGTAGGACTTAACATTTTAGTTAATCCATTCCCTTATATAATAAATTAATCCTCCATAAGTCATTCAACTTGTTCAGCTGACCTGACTTGAATATAAGTAGGACTTAACATTTTAGTTAATCCATTCCCTTATATAAAATAGGTAGGACTTAACTGATAAGTTAATCTGTCCCTAGAATGCCACCGTCCCATACCGGTGCATTAAACCACACAATCCAATAATTGATGTAACAATTAAAGAAATATATCAAACATTCCAGAAATAACTATGATAATATGATATCAAGTTATCACATAATATGAATGACTTATTATTTATTTAAGCTTCCTATATCATATGTCCTACACAAACTGAATCTTATACATGATGATATTTTATTATACTGTCAAATAAGCATTCTCCATATCCAATTCATCCTACACATTTAATCTCAATTGCTAAAGCATTTTAAAAGATTAAATCCATTCGTTTGTTTAAAACATTCAAATAGCAAGCATCATTATGATTGAGTGTATTTAAATTTATTTAAACCCAAACCTAGTCCCTATTTAATGTTCAGGAATCCTAGGCATGTTTCTACGTTCCATCATTCCACAGATATGAAAAATACATAATTCAAACATGTAAAAAATTCACACCAGAAAACAAATCAAAATCATGCATTTATCAATTCATAACACAAGAACAGATATGAACCTATGTTTTAATCCAATTAAACATGCATAATTATTTAATTTTCTGTATTTAATAAATCTTGGAATTTCCTAGGCATGTACAAAAACACGAATCAAAGGGAAAGAGATAGAAGAAGAACTTGCCTTAAACTTTCGGATCGAAAGTTAAACTTCTTCTTCCTTGATCTTCTCTCTACAGGGTTTTTCTCCTCCTTCCTTCCTTAATTTTCCTCCTTCCCTCTCTAACTCTCTCTCTCTCTCTAGAATATATCACGTGAATATTTCTAACTCCTTTTTACAACCTATAGCTATATATTTATAGGCTAAATAAACTAACCCTAACCCTTTTCCCAATCCAAGTCAACTTAAAAAAATAAATATTAAAATATTAAAAAGGTAAGTAAAATATGTTGCGTATATAATTATGTATATCTTTATTAAATAAATAAATTATACACATCCCATTATTTATTAATGGATTATCCAATAATATCTAAGTTACCATAATATTATAAAGTAACTTAAAACATAAAACGTATCAAATCTATGTATATTTTTATTATTTAAGTATAAAACATATACATCAGATTAAATATTACTACCCAAGTTACCATAAAGGTAATTAATAAATTACCCATTATTTATTAATGGATTATCCAATAATGTTTAAGTTACCATAATAGTATAAAGTAACTTAAAACATAACACGTATCAAATTTATGCATATTTTTATTATTTAAATATAAAACATATAAATCAGATTAAATATTACTACCCAAGTTACTATAAAAGTAATTAATAAATTATTTTTCCTTTTATATATGTATATAATATATATCTATATATATATACACACAACTATCCATAGATAATAATCTATACCTATCCAACCTCCCATCCAAGTAGTCCATGAGATCCAATTGGTTGACTCATTACTACTAACCATAACCATAAAAGAAAAATAAAAGAAAATAATAAAATAAAAGAAAACATTTAATTTACAATTAATCAAAACACCATTTAAGCATATAATCTAATTAAACAATTAACACATAGACAAATACAAATAACACATAGACACATAATCAAATACTCAAGTAACACTTAATTCAATTCAACCCATAAGCAATTAGTCAAATAATCAATTAAATAATTAAAAATACAATTAAAATAAATAAATAAATACTGAGACTATCATTTTAAAATTAGGGGTATTACGCCTAGCATGGCTGTAATTGCAGCTTCAGTGTGTGGGTCAGTTCCAGAGAAGTATACATTGCTCTTGGAAAGATTGATGTCTAAACTAGACATACAACAGAAGTGATCAAGGGCAGACTTCAACACTGAAACTGAAGTGATGTCACCATGACAAAACAGAAAGTGGTCATTAGCATAGGAGAGATGTGTGATCTTCAAAGCACCACATTTCCAATGGAATTTGAATGTGTGAGCTCTCTTTACATATTCATTAATGATGGATGACAGAGTATCCATGACAATAACAAATAGAAAGGGAGAGATGGGGTCACTTTGTCTCAATCCCCTCCTACCTTTGAAAAACCCTTGGAACTCTCCATTGAGGGCAATGGTGAAAAAGGGTGATGTGAAGCAAGCCTGTAATAGAGAAATGAACTTAGATGGGAAGTTATGGAGGTTGAGACAGCTTAGGATAAAATCCCATTTGACTGAATCAAATGCTTTCTTAAGATCTATCTTGATAGCACACTTGGTAGTGGAAGACTCAATATGATGCCCTCTTAGTAATTCATGAGCTAGCAGAATGGGATCAGTGATCTTCCTCCCAATAATGAAAGTTGATTGTGCCATATCAATGATGAATGGTAGAGAGAGCTACAACTTGGATGCCAGAATTTTAGAAATGCACTTATAGATGGAGTTGCAGCAAGATATTAGTCTGTAGTCATGGATGGAAGATGGATTCTGGCATTTTGGAACCAATGCAATGTAGGTATTATTTGCTTCAAACAACATCTTACCATTCCTAAAGAATTCAGCAACAGCCTTGGTGACAGTGTTCCCCATAATACCCCAAGCTTTTTGGAAGAATGCAGCATTATAACCATCAGGGCCGGGGGCTTTATCTTTGCTGAGGCTGAACATGCATAGCTGAATTTCACTATGCGAAGGAATGCCATCCAAAATATTGTGTAAGTGGTCAGGAACCAATTTGGTGATGAAAGGCTGCAGATCAGAGATGCTATGAGTAGGACGAGGGGAGCAACCAAGCAACTTTTTGAAGTGGTTTACAACTTTAGCTTTAATAGCTTCGCAATCTGTTAAAACCTGACCATTATCAGTGGTGAGAGACACAATTTTCTTTCTGTTATTCTTGGAAGAAAGGGATTTATGGAAGTAGGAAGTGTTGTTGTCACCCAGCTTAAGCCAAGTCATCCTTGATTTCTGTCTCAGCATGTCTTCTTGGTGTTTGGCCAGCCTTAGATACTCATTGGTTAAGACTTTTTCCAAGTGTCTGAGGTCTTCATTTCTTGGATCTGTGTCAAGGTCAGTTTGACAGGCATCAAGCTCCAATTTAACTGCCTGCAGCTTCAAATCCATTACTGTGAATTCCTTTTTACAGTTGGTTTTGAGGGCTTGCTTCAGCAATTTGAGCTTCTGGACACATTGGAACTTTGCTGTGCCTTTGATGTAGGTTTGCCAGACTTCCTAAATTGTGGGAAGGAAATGGGGATGACTGCTCCAGGCATTGAAGAACCTGAATGGGATGTTTCTTTTTGGGGTGTTGAAATCCATGGAGACCAAGATGGGAGAATGATCTGATATCCCTGGAGCCAAGAAGCAACATTCAGATAATGGGAAAGAGTTGATCCACTTTTGATTGATCAAGGCTCGATCCAATTTTTTGGCAATGCAGGCTGCTCCCAAGCTATTGTTACACGAAGAATACAAGATTCCATTAAATTTAAGGTATTCAAGTTCAGCTCTTTACAGGCATTCTTTGAAATCAGTCATAGCTGGGCACAATCTCATGGATCCACCATGTTTCTCACCAGCATTGGGGATGACATTGAAGTCTCCCATTAAGAGCCATGGGGATTGAGCTAAGTTGCCTATATGGAAGGTGATATTTTCCCAAAGCTCTTGTCTTTCAGTTGCTGTGTTGGCTGCATAGATAAAGGAGGAGAAGAAAGAAATGCTTTGCCCTATGATGGTCATGCTGCAGTGAATTGCTTGCCTATTGAGGTCTGTTACAGTGAGTTGTAATACATTGGGGTTCCATAGAACCCAAATTCTACCCAGAGGTGAAAAATTGTAGTTATGAACAATTTGCCATGAGGGAGCCAAGAATCTATGAATAGATTCAATGTTTGATTGAGAGACCTTAGTCTCTACAATACAAAGCAAGTCAAGTTTTTTGTCAGAGATAAGATTTTTGACCACTGACTATTTAGAGGGCTGGTTCAGCCCTCTAATATTCCAAGTAAAGAAACTTAACATAGAGAAGGGTGGGAGAGGGGACCTTCAGGATGCCTGCGGCCTATAGCAAAGCAGTAGACATCAAATCTGTGTTGCTGCAGGACTTCCTTCTTGCTTCTTTCTTCAATGTTCTAACTGTTAACTTCTCATTTGTGGATTTTGAAGAGGGTATTTCCATAATAGGTGGCTGCTGAAATCTGGCTTGTTTTTTGCAAAGTTTAACAAGTATGCAAAGTTTAAGACATATTTCAGTATTAGGCAGAATAATAAATTTTATATGTGAGCTAGGACCAAATTTATATTTGCAGAATGAGTAGTTAATTAATTAAAATATGTACATGCATACGTGGACATCCATCGAATAGATATGGGTTTTGATATGAGGATCCACTGGTAAAATTACAACTGCATTGGTAAGTAAAACTACTTCCTGGACTGCAAAAAGCATTTGGTCCGCATAATAATGTATTATTAGCATCGTTGCACTCTCCGGGCATGCCCCATTCCAGCACGGCATCAAAAACAGGTTTCATTTCTTGGATGTCGTTGATCAGTGATGTATTGGATGCATCGATCGAGATTGAAGAATAACTGATGAACGCATAATCGCACGCTTTCGGATTATCACTAGTCTTGGAATCATTCATAAATTTGGAGAGAGATGTATTGATGAAGTTGAGTGATGGAGGGATTAAGGTCTGGCAGCAATTGATTCCATAGCAACTTCCTTCAGCAGTTGAGATGGTGGGGTTGCAGATTGATGCACACCCACCTATAATTTGTTGGTCTTGGTTCATCATTAAGGCTAGGTTGTTACAACCTGTGGCCGTGAAAACATTATCACTTTCAGAGAACCAAAAATGACTGGACAAATTCACAACTCAATGATACTTAATCCCATCTGGACAATCATAAGTGAGCACCGGAAGATGGGTGTAAACGGTGCCAGAGCTATTGCCATAGCCCCATGCATCAATATAAAGCACCTCAAGCAAAGAGTTAATGTTGGTAGTGAGGAAAGCTTTGGAAGAGTTGACGCAAGTTATTACAAAGCTGTCGTTGGCATAGCAGTTGGCTCCAATCCCAAATGGGTAAGGAATGGAAATATTTCCGCATGTGTCTGGAAGAGATGCTGAGGATGCTTCTCATGTTAGCCACACTAATCCTAATACCAACAACTCAATCACCATTTTTTAATTCCCTCTCTACTCTTTGTGAGATTCTCAGACTACTTATTGGAGAATGTATAGACTTCAACTCTATTTTTAAAAGGAAAAAGAAACAAAAGAAAAAAGAAAAGTCACAAAGAGGAGTACTTTGGTTTATTGGTCACTCTATACTAATCAAACAACGTATTCATCAAGTTACACTAAATAACAAATGTGAAAGGAAAGTTCTTGACAATTGTTCTACTCTATGAAGCACGGACACGGACACGGGATACGGGTACGATACGACACGGATACGGTAACACGGCAAAATTTAAAAAAATAGGACACGGACACGGCGGGAATACGCCTATAAAATTATATACATATATATATATATATATATATATATATATATATATAATTATATATTCAAAATATAATTACTGAAACCTTGTACATTCATTTTCCTAATAATAAATAGATATATATAAATACAAAATTGCAAATAAAAACAATAACAAATAACAGGACCAATTTTAATAATTTCATCTCTGTTATAAGAAAAATATAGACAAGACAAACAAAAAATAAATGAAAAATAAAATTGATTCAAATTCCAAACGAAGATATGCAACATAGCTATAATGAGCTAAATATGCATATGAATAAACATATATACTTTCAGTCTTTCACCAAGTCTTGTTCATGTAACTAAAAAAAAAAAGTCTTGCTCATGTAGAGAGATAATTGAAGAAGATGAGAGACTGAGAAAGGAAGTGAGAAAATAAATTTTCTATGCAATACTCTATTGTCTGTAGTTGTTTTTTTATTTTTTCAAAATTTTACTTTTAAACTTTTAAAATTAGTAAATTACATTAGGTACCCCATTTATCTTTTTTAAAAAAATTACAAAATATATCCCGCCGTGTCCCCCGCCGTGTCCTACCTTTAAAAAAAATTACAAAATATACCCCGCCGTGTCCCTCGCGTGTCTGAGCCGTGTCCACCCTGTGTCCTCCGCGTATCCGAATCGTGTCCAATAAAAAATAATTTCTGGACAATTCACAGAAGTGTCGGATACGGGTGTCGGTGTCCGAAAAGTGTCCGACATTGGTACGGGACCCCTGGGAGGAGTGTCCGTGTTTCATAGGTTCTACTTTATTGGATGGTGTGTGTGTGTGTGAGAGAGAGAGAGAGGGGGGGGGGGGGGGAACAGGCACAATTAAGGTTTATTTTTAGGACTGCATGGGTTGAATCCTTACTTTTTAATACAAGTCCATCTCATCCTTGAATTTTTAATCTCAGATTTATAACTTAGGTTGAAATTTCAATTTAAAAAGTCAAGTTAATTTAAATTTTTGTGAGATTCTCAGACTACTTGTTATATTATATATTGGTGTTTTTATTTTTTTATTTTTTTTTTTTTTTGAAGAATACTTAGATTTCCAAATCTATTTAAAAAAAGAAACAAAAGGGAAAATGAAATAATTGAAGTCAAATGGAGAAGAGTACTTTCGTTTATTATTGTCACTCATACTAATCAAACACCATATTCATCAAGGTAGACTAAACAATAAATTGGTAATTGGTGAGGCATTGTCTTTCAAAGACTCAATTGGAATATTGATGAGCACTGAAAAGTGCGTATTTAAACCCGTTAAGCTTAAGCATTCTAGTACCTTTATCTATCTTACTTTGCCGTTTTAGACTTATTACGTGTTATTTATATTTTCAGGCACTAATCCCAAAATTGAGCTAACTCAGCCAAATAAGAGCTTAATTGAAGCAATCCTGAGATAAACCAAAGGAGGGAGCAAAGTGGAGAAAGAAAGGAGCAAAAAGGAATCAAAGTTGTGCAGCTGAAAAGTTCGATCGATCCAACTTAGAGTTCGATCGATCGAACATCTATGATCGATCACAGTACTTCTCGATAGATCCAACCTTGACCTTTGCTGAAATTCCAAGTTTGATCGATCCAACATCACCTTCGATCGATCGAACCTTATTTTGTCCTATTCAAATGATTGATCTTATCCACAGCTGTACGCCTACCAACCACTTTTGTCCTTTTCCCCATAAATATCTTCGAAATATCTCAGCCTTGTCCTTATCCGGAGGAGTCAGACCACTTCGATCGATCCAAGATGCAGTTCGATCGATCGAACCCATCTTCAATCGATCCAAGTTAAGGTTCGATCGATCGAACTTCCTCCAGCGAGA